TACAGATTCGGTGAAGGACTTAGTGTACAGTCGCTGCTTTTCAGAGCTGAGAAGTAACAGCTGTGATAATTTGGGCGCGTGAAAGAATGCATTCCAAAGGGAAGCTGTAACAGCTACTACTTTCTCATCCGAGTGGGAGCAGTGTCCAATGAGGGCTAAGATCAACCTTGGGAAAATGTATCGAAGAACTCTGCTCTAGACTCCGGTTATTTTCTGCCAAAGCTGAAACGCGCATATGAACGGGACCGGCGGAAGCACTGTTTTGACGCATCTGCTTTCATGACCCAAAAACGAAACCATCGGAATTTGAACGGTCATCAAAACTGACTGATTGCTGACTACCTACACGACTAATTTTGCTATTACAACCTAATTGCTGACATTAAGTAGGAGCCCCAAGGTTATATATAATGAAGCTCGCTCAAAAGCTGACCTGATAAAGGTGTTCATCCACTAACAGCTGTCACTGATGTGTAACATTAAGAGACAAAGAGACAGTGGACACACATGCATGTGCATAATTTACAGATTTGCATTCGCGGTCACATTACCTTGCGCTAATTCAATTACACACTGACTATAGTGGAATAACAAAATACAAAGGAAAATCCAAAAAATTCTTTAAAGTATGACAAGAGCTTCATATTGCCTTATAAACAGCTATCCATCGTTGTGTAATATGACTTAAATCAAATAATTCATAAATATCTGCGAATTATAAAAAATTCAAACTCCCGTCCGCTTGGCGGTGAAGAGTCGGTTGCGCCAAATCATCGTAGACAGGCGTGATGATAGGAGTGTAAATTGGATTGTCGACAGACAGCCTGAAACGATAACTAAAATCTTTCTTTACTGCTACAGACAACTTCAGATCCCACGTTGCCGCTGTCAAGTGACCGATTCATGCCTGTGTTAAATAAGGTCTGCAGTCGCTGACGAACGCTGCCCTGAGAGAGCCCAATTTATTCATTTGCCTGAACCGCTTCTATAGCCTATAGAGCACATGGCCAACTTCAAGAGTAAAGAGTCAACTTCACTGCTGAAGTCAATAAATTGCAATCGAATTCAGGGTTAAACTTTATGGTGATTAATATACTGACGATCAGCTATGAGGAGGGCTATACAGCCACAAGAGGCGCATGAACAGGACAACATGAACGTACATCTCGTCTATTCCGTCATGAACAAACCAGAATGCCATGCTGTCTGGACTATTCGCAGTTAATCGACTTACTACCCGTTTCTTAGCTGGTTGTACCGAAGCAACGAGATCCTAATTATTTGCTCAATGGAATTCGCAGTAAAGACAAAGAGTGTCCCCTGAATGGATTCGAATCCAACACTGTGTTCAAAGCTGACCTTTAAGCCATTGCACCACCATGCTGAATAGAAACCATGAATAGGAGGTGATAGCGTAATACCACTGCTACAAGTCCACACTCACTTTAAAAGCACAGATTTCCTTCTTAAAAACATACAGCCATCCGGGATGTACAACTGTATATTTCATGACTCTAGCAGTTAACATCAGCCCCATATTCGTGCGCATCTCTCCACAGTGTAGAGACGGAAACAAAGACTGGTGTGCGCCTTTTACAAATCAATAAAGCAAATATAAAGCTCCTATGCACACCCTGTTTTTTACACACACGAACAGTAGCTTAGACCAAAGATATTATGAGAGCCACAAGACCTGTCGCAAACTGTAGAATTTTTCGCTTTTTCTTCCAACGCATTTCAGTAGGCACAACTGATAATACCGAGAAATAATTCCATAGTTGCAACAGTCTTGTTACACAGGTTATCAACACACAGACAGATTAGTCACTACTCAGATGCTCTCCAAAAATAATAGTTAGTCTGGCATGCAGAAGTGTGTTAGAAAATACTATGACGATGTAAATTTTTAGGACATCTAAATCGTAAAATCTTAAATCTGCAAATAGAATTTACGTGGTTACACTAACAGCTGCTTATCACATTGAATGATCAGCTATGAGTCTCTCAGATCAGACAGCA